TGTATGGTTGGCGGTGGGTTGAATGGGACGTTCTGCTCGACCACCACGGGGTGCGACATCGCATGTCTGTCCCGCTGCTTGAGACCCGGCGTGCTGCAGCTAGGGCCCATCTGCTTGCAGCTGGCTGCGCTGCTTCCTTGCCGCGTATTCTTGCCAATTTGGCCACTGAACACGCTTCTGCTATCCATGCATTGCGTGCCCCGGTGTTGCATTTGCTGCGCGACGCCATGCGAGGGGTGGCGTTTCAGGCGGCGTCCAAGCGACGTCGGGACATGAAAGGGCTTGACAATGTTGATCGCGATCTTCTCACTTCCTGTTGGGCACGCGTGCCTAAAGCTGACCACCCGTCCTTGCGGTTTCTCATGCAGGGGGGTGCCATGACTGCGGCCCGCGTTCATCGTGCCACCAGAGGACGCACATCCTCGGCGTGTTCTTGCTGCGCCCCGTGTGAGGACGAGTGTCACAGGTACTGGCTGTGTCCGCAGTGGTCTCCTCTGCGAGCTGAAAAGTTAGGTGCGCGTCATCAGGTGATTTGTGCTGAGCTCGCCCGCTTGGGCAATGTCTCTGCAATTTGTGGGATTCCGACCCATGGCCTTTCTGTCTGCCTTCGCGACAACTGGCCTGCAATCTGCGCGTGTATGGTTGACATTCACCGTGCTGCCACTGCTCAGGGCAGCCACCTCGACAACTGATTGCCAGCATTTTCATAATTAGTTTCTGCAAGCAGCTTGCAGCCCCTCGGACCCCCGTGCGGGACTGCAACACCAGGACTGGACACACGCTTCGGTCTTGCCGTTTTGGTTTGGTTGGGGTTTTGTTTTCGGTTGGGGGGGGGGGTTTTCTGATAGGGTGTGGAGCTCTCAGTAGCCTATACCTGTCAGTGATCCCGCGGTGCCTACGACGCCGCCAAGTGGACCAAGATGAAAGCCATGAAGGCCATGAAGGCAAGTGGTTTCTGCAAGTTAGACGGTGCACAAACTCTCATTTGTTTCTGTGGTCGTTCACTGCCACCTTCAAAAGTCACCGCATCTCTCGACCCGTTGCAGCTGCTCTGCTCATGTCGAAGTGCCCGTTTAAGCTTCGAGGCAGCAGGTCATCTCCAACATGTCCTGAAAAAACTCCACATCAGTAGAACCCCTCGCGCCCCAGGCGATGAAGGCGATGAAGTGAGCAGTTTTGCCCCACGCGTTTCAAGGTGTTTCGCCAGGTCCCTAGGGCCTGGCTCCCAGCGCACCGGAGGGCCTCTGTACAGGAAAAAGCCACACCCAAGTTTATGCATAGGTGTTGTGATGCATTGTGGGATGCTCGCGGCAGTTTCTTGCAGTTGCATGGATGAGGCTGCAGGCCGTGCTTGAGGGTCGTGCTGTGGAGAGATTGTGTGTGTGTGTGCGTGCAATGGAGCGTGTGTATTTTAAGGTTTGTTTCTTTCTTTCTGGGGCTTTGTGGGAATTCTTCTCCCCGAGGCGGCAGGACAGTTAGTTCGCTTGAAGTGCCAAAGCATCACAGAGTCGGCTGCCGCAGCCCTTCGAGTTCTCTCACGCCTCCCTTGTGCTTCCGAACGCTTCCTGCACTCGCCATGGCTCCCATGAAGGCGATGAAGGCGATGAAGGCAACCGGCCTACTGTTTTGCTCCGCCATTGTTTCTGTGCAAGTGGCAGGCTTCGTCTACAGTCTACAGCACCCTGAATCCCGAAAGCGCCTACTGCCAGCGGTATGAGTTTTGTTAGGCCCCGAGGCATCGTAAGTTGTTGCTTGCAGGCCATGAAGGCTATGAAAGCCATGAAGGCCGGAGTTGTGGGGGCCATGTACTTTGTACAAGGGTGCCACTTCAAAAGCCCCAAACCCCGAAAACACCAGCGGCTTTCTCCCAGCGCCATTGCGTGAAGCTCGTGTGATGATCTTAGTGACACGGTTTCGCAAGTACTGAGAGAGGCCTCACACATCCTCACACCATCATACTTTGGCTGCCGCCTTCAAGCGCGGAAACCGTCGCATGTAGCAGCAGCCTCTGCGGTGGCCGGCCACGCTTCAAACGTGCCCCTCGACTTGCTGACAGGCCATGAAGGCGATGAAAGCCATGAAGGCACGCGACCCTGTTTTATTTCCGTCATCAAGTTTGGCTCGCATCAGGAGGGCATAGTGTTGAAGGAGGTTTTCATGCTTTCGAGGTAGCCGCATAGCAAGTTTGGCTACACAGTTTCGTGGTGAGAGAGCGATCTTTGAGATCTACGATCTGTCGAAGCCTTGGCTAGAGGCCATGAAGAAGAAGGCGGATGACGAGGAAGCCCCCGCGATGAAGAGCATGAAGGCAATGAAGGCCCACAGGGCACGGATCATCCATGCTGAACGGACTGCTTGCCGGGTTGTTGCAAAGAGTCACGCGGAAGCGTTGCAGATGTTGTGTCCTTCCCTGCCTGGTGGCACATCCTTGGTGGGTCCTGCATTGATTCGTGCATAGCTGGCTTGCTTGGGGCCATCACCTGGGGAACTTGACTGCAGCAGGCGATGAAAGCGATGAAGGCCATGAAAGCAATGAAGGCCTGTAAGTGCCACGTTGTGCAGATGTGTGTGGTCCCTTCTACGTAGTCGCCGAGAACCGCAGCTATCCCAAGATGAAAGACCTTAAACCTCGAAGCAGTCTTGAAGCATGTGTTTGCGTGCTCTGTTGAAGTTGAAGTTGGCTCTGCTCTCCAAACAGACTCCGATTGCAGGCGATGAAAGCCATGAAGGCCATGAAGGCAAGTGGTTTCTGCAAGTTAGACGATGCACAAACTCTCATTTGTTTCTGTGGCCGTTCACTGCCACCTTTAAAATGTCACCGCATCTTGAACCGTTGCAGCTGCTCTGCTCATGTTGAATTCTTGTGTAAGCTTCGAGGCAAAAGGTCATCTCCAACATGTCCTGAAGAAAGCCCACATCAGTAGAACCCCTCGCGCCCCAGGCGATGAAGGCGATGAAGTGAGCAGTTTTGGCCCACGCGTTTCAAGGTGTTTCGCCAGGTCCCTAGGGCCTGGCTCCCAGCGCACCGGAGGGCCTCTGTACAGGAAAAGCCACACCCAAGTTTACGCATAGGTGTTGTGATGCGTTGTGGGATGCTCGCGGCAGTTTCTTGCAGTTGCATGGATGAGGCTGCAGGCCGTGCTTGAGGGTCGTGCTGTGGAGAGATTGTGTGTGTGTGTGTGCGTGCAATGGAGCGTGTGTACGCAGCCCTTCGAGTTCTCTCACGCCTCCCTTGTGCTTCCGAACGCTTCCTGCACTCGCCATGGCTCCCATGAAGGCGATGAAGGCGATGAAGGCAACCGGCCTACTGTTTCGCTCCGCCATTGTTTCTGTGCAAGTGGCAGGCTTCGTCTACAGTCTACAGCACCCTGAATCCCGAAAGCGCCTACTGCCAGCGGTATGAGTTTTGTTAGGCCCCGAGGCATCGTAAGTTGTTGCTTGCAGGCCATGAAGGCTATGAAAGCCATGAAGGCCGGAAATGCGGGGGGGCATGTACTTTAAAAGCCCCAAACCCCGAAAACACCAGCGGCTTTCTCCCAGCGCCATTGCGTGAAGCTCGTGTGATGATCTTAGTGACATGGTTTCGCAAGTACTGAGAGAGGCCTCACACATCCTCACACCATCATACTTTGGCTGCCGCCTTCAAGCGCGGAAAACCGTCGCATATAATGGAAGCCTCTGCCGTGGCCGGCCATGCTTCAAACTCGACTTGCTGACAGGCCATGAAGGCGATGAAAGCCATGAAGGCACGCGACCCTGTTTCGTTTCCGTCATCAAGTTTGGCTTGCATCAGGAGGGCATGGGGTTGAAGGAGGTTTTCGAGCTTTCGAGGTGGGCGCATAGCAAGTTTGGCTACACAGTTTCGTGATAAAAAAGAAAAATCTTTTAAATGATCTGTCGAAGCCTTGGCTACAGTGGCTAGAGGCCATGAAGAAGAAGGCGGATGACGAGGAAGCTCCCGCGATGAAGAGCATGAAGGCAATGAAGGCCCACAGGGCACGGAACATCCATGCTGAACGGACTGCTTGCCGGGTTGTTGCAAAGAGTCACGCGGAAGCGTCTCAGATGTTGTCTCCTTCCATGCCTGGTGGCACATCCTTGCTGGGTCCTGCATTGGTTCGTGCATTGCTGGCTTGCTTGGGGCCATCGCCTGGGGAACTTGACTGCAGCAGGCGATGAAAGCGATGAAGGCCATGAAAGCAATGAAGGCCTTTAAGTGCCACGTTGTGCAGATGTGTGGGGTCCCTTCTGCGTAGTCGCCGAGAACCGCAGCTATCCCAGGATGAAAGACCTTAAATCTCGAAGCAGTCTTGAAGCAACCCCCCCCGCCGCAGCAAGATACCTGCATGTGTTTGCGTGCTGTGTTGATGTTGAAGTTTGCTCCGCTCTCCGAACAGACTCCGATTGCAGGCGATGAAAGCCATGAAGGCCATGAAGGCAAGTGGTTTCTGCAAGTTAGACGGTGCACAAACTCTCATTTGTTTCTGTGGTCGTTCACTGCCACCTTCAAAATGTCACCGCATCTCTCGACCCGTTGCAGCTGCTCTGCTCATGTCGAAGTGCCCGTTTAAGCTTCGAGGCAGCAGGTCATCTCCAACATGTCCTGAAAAAACTCCACATCAGTAGAACCCCTCGCGCCCCAGGCGATGAAGGCGATGAAGTGAGCAGTTTTGCCCCACGCGTTTCAAGGTGCTTCGCCAGGTCCCTAGGGCCTGGCTCCCAGCGCACCGGAGGGCCTCTGTACAGGAAAAAGCCACACCCAAGTTTATGCATAGGTGTTGTGATGCGTTGTGGGATGCTCGCGGCAGTTTCCTGCAGTTGCATGGACGAGGCTGCAGGCCGTGCTTGAGGGTCGTGCTGTGGAGAAGCTGTGTCAGCTGCTAGCGAATATGTCCACTGCGCACCCGCGCGCGCCGGGCTCGGAACAGTGAGGCAAGTGTAGTAAGTGTAGCTGTAGCTGCCAAAACGCATTTGCAAGATCCCTCCCGCCCCTTCCAGCCATGGTGAGCTTCTCTAGTCTTCGGCTCACCCCTGAGGGTCGCTTGCAGCCAGTGACCTTCACGTATTCAGGGGATGCTCTCCATGAGAAGTTGTTTGACGCTCATGCGTCCGGTGCCCAGGCTCATGACACACCCTTACATGCTGTGAGGTGTGGCCTTCGTAATGCCAAATTCTGTTTACATTACAGTGCCCAACTCGCACCGAGGCTTGGCCAACTACCCACGAAGCTCTTCTTTCCCGACTCGAAAGTTGATCGGCCGGTTGCGGAGTGTCCTGGTTACAAGTGTGTCTTCGTCTTCAGGCCCGATCTTGCGGATCAGCTCATCGTGCTGAGCCTCCACCTATCTCTAGAGAAAGATGCACGAGACTACCTGAGGACTCAGCCTAATCGCGTTGCTTGCCAGCTGGTGTCAGACCAGCAGCGCCGTGACAGAGTGAAGTTCATCTTCGGCTCGGTCATAGTGATCCGTAGACAACTGATGGGGCAAAGGGCAGACCTCAGCATGGAGGAGTTCCAGAAGCTCACAAAGGACGTGAAAGATTTTCGAGTGATGTTTGAAGCCGAGCCCAAGCCGGCTCGGGACCTCAGTGTTCTGAGGACGATGCCGGCGCCATGGGCGCCGGAAACCAGCCTGCCCGTCAAGCGCACCGCAAAGGCTGCTGCAGCCTGGACTGCGCCGCCCTCGAAGTTGGACGACGATTGCCTCAGCACGGCTGCGGTCTCGGTGGCTTCGGAACTCGAGGCTGTCTCCGTGATCCAATCGCCAAGCCCCGCCAGCCAGACGAAGCCTCCGGCTGATTGGAGCACGGAGGAGGTGGCGGCGTGGCTGTGGACGTTGGACAATGGTGCTGGAAAGTGGGACAGGCGCTGCCAAAGGGGGGGGGACTTAAATTCAAAGGGCTTCCCGCATGTTTTTCGGGTCCAGCTGGGTCTCGGGTACTTCGCGCTCCAGGTACGTGGACCTCTTTCGGGAGAACCAGATTAATGGGACCGCGCTGCGCACGCTCACTGGTGAGGAGCTCCGCGACGAGCTAGGGGTCACAGCTTTTGGACCACGGAAGGCAAGGCCGAGCAACTGTGTTTTTTTTGAGACTAAAGCTACAGCTGGAGCATGATGCAGCACGATGCACTTTAAAGTCTGTGACTGCAGGTGATCTTGGCGGAAATTCAAAAGCTCTTCGCAGCTGGATTGTGATTGTGCCTTGTTAAAATACCTTGCATAGGGTTGCCATGGCAGGCAAGACTGAAGCAGGATCTGCCAAAGGACGCGCGTAGCAAAAAGACTCGCGGCATTGTAATAATGGTAATCGTGCTACTCCTACGTAGGACATCAGATAATCTTTTTGTTCTTATGCTTCTGGTGTGAATACATCTTCCAGTTACTCTGTCAAGCTGTTATGCTTGCCAATTTAGGCCAAATGTTGCCATTCTCCTTCGCAAACAGGGGTGTAAAGGGGACATGACAGGGCTTCAGCGCACCCGACAGACACGATCCGACACTCTAGTCTCGAGGCCGAACCGATCTTGTGGAAGTGTGTTCTCACCTCCCGGTCCAGGTGTCAGGATGCGCGCAGCACAAAATGATGCGAACAGGGACCTAGGAGGAACTTGGCAGAGCAAGACCCATTCTGCTTGTGGCCCGAGCCTCGAGGTGTTTGGCCGGTAGCCTGCCGACAGCTTTATGGCGACCGTGCCCTATTGTGCCCTCTTTGAGCATGTCGCAGCAAGCCTCTGGCTTCCTCCTCAGTCACTATACGAATCAGCCTCTGGTTTTTTTTTGAGAAGTGGAGATTGAAGAGGCGAAGAGTGGCCAAGGTTGCACCTGCCTTGGTGGTCTCCGAATGTTGCTGGGGACGGTTCTCAAGCATGCCTACTGGAAGCTTTCAGAGCCGGAGGGCCCAGTTCACTCGCGCCGAGATGTAATCCCTTGACGCGTTTTGTAAACCAACCCTAAGATTGAAATTCGTCCCCGCCCCCAATTCTGCAACTGGTCAGGGTTTGGGGTTTGGGTTCCGGGATCCCGCTCAGAGGGGGGCTTATATAGGCGCCCACTGGAAATGCGTGGGGCGATATTGGATGCAAGGGAGATGAGTTTGCTGTCTGAACACTCGCCGAGCGCTCGTGACTAAAATGTCAGTGCCGCGGAGAGGCCCAGGAGCAGGCGAACATGGCTGTGCAGGTGCAGAAGGAATCAGGGCGCTCGCAGGTCAAGACCCTCAGTACACCTGCTATCATCATCTGAGCTACAGCAGTACCAATGATGATAGAGCGTAATCTTGCTGATAAGCACCACGTTAGCAGGAGTAAAAATGATCACAGCAGGAATGGGAGTCGTCGTCCTACTCGTACTCGCCATAGTCGTAGTAGCAGTAGCACCAGGATCATCACAAGCAGCAGCAGCAGCAGCAGCAGCAGCAGCAGCAGCAGCAGCAGCAGCAGCAGCAGCAGCAGCAGAAGTAGCAGCTGCAACTGTTGTAGTACCGATGATTATGAATAGATAAAAGAAATGATAATCATAGGAGTCATGGGTGCAATGGGAAGATGTCAGTTCACAGTGGCAAATAAGACAATTAGCAAGTCATAAAGACGATAACATAGTAATGATAGTATAGCAACTTAATGAAGTAGCAAGAATACTGAGAAGCAGGATAAGTATAGCAGTGGGTCTTTATGGCCTGGATGTCGGGGTTCAGCTCAGATCTTGCCATCAGAGGACCCTATCAGACGCCTTTGGTATATTTGGTGTTGCCATCACCCTAAACCCTAAACCCTAAACCCCCCCCCTTAAATGCTTCGGCCTTTCAGGTGAGCGCCGGGAGCCTGTTGCTGATGCGGTGGACCCTACAGGAGCCGAGTTCTCAGACGCTTCCTCAAGGCGGCTTGTGGCCTCAGGACTGTGCGGCCTGCTTTTGACAGCTGTTACCAAAAGCACCCCTATAGGCCCGCCATCCAGAAAGGCCAATGGTTCTTAGATGCTCTTGGTGTATTTTACCTGGCTCGGGCGCATAGCTTCTCACTCGCCTTCGTCAGGTGAGAGCCCTCTGAAGCCTTGATGCAGGTGGACCTAGCTGGCGCGGTTCTCAGAAGCAGCTGGGCTTCCTTCAAAGACACACTTGTGGCCCTCATGTTGCTGGCCAACCCAGCCATCAGCTTGAACAAGCTTCTTTCGAAATTGTTGCTGTAATTGTCTGTTTCCGATGGTATCTTTGCTGACCGAAGGGAGATCTGCTCAAGGGAGTTTCCGCGCTCTGCCTCAGAAGTTCGCCTCTGTAGCCATGTCCATGAGCGTCATGGCACTGTTCTCATTGCTCACGTTGACTGTACCAGCAGTGGCCCAGAAACTTACTTTCTCACAAGGCTGCGGCGCCTGCGGAGCGACTTGGACACTCGAAGTGGTTTGCGGTGCCACGCTGAAAGTCGAGGCAGACTGCCCGGACACGAAGTGGTGTGGTCTTGGCTTCAATGCCGAGAAACCTAAGATGGATGGGACTGATGTCTTCACCTTCGGCTACCATCCGGGCGTGGACCTCAGCGACTGCAAAAGAAGTGGCTGCGGAGGTGCCTGCGGAGGTGCCTGCGGAGGTGCCTGCGGTGCCTGCGGTGGTGCTTGTGGCGCTTGTGGTGGTGCTTGTGGCGCTTGTGGTGCTTGTGGTGCTTGTGGCAGCGCTTGTGGTGGTGCTTGTGGTTACACTGCAGGCGCTTGCGGTGGCACGGGAGGCTGCGGGAAAACTGGGGGTCGTCGCTTGCGAGGACAGAGCAGCCCCTTCCTGCCTCGTGTCCGCACCCTGGAGCTGAGCTTGCCCACGCCACAGCAGCCTGGTAGCCCCAAGAGCCTGTCTAGCAAGGAGGGCATTGCAGGGGTGGCTATGAATTCCGTGCTCTTTGTGCATGAGCATCCTGGAGAGGGCATGACATGGGTCTTGGATAATTGCGGTGGCCATGGCGACACCTTTGGCCACTACCATTACCATGCTCCTCCTCTGTGTCTCCTGCGCTCGCTGGGTGTGGCTGTACCTTCTGGCGACTGGTGGAAGCGTGGTGGAAGGTCAGCTTGGGCGTCTGAGGGTCCAGAGGTGCAGGTCGGATGGGCTTTGGACGGTGCGCCGATCATGGGACCCTACCGCGCCGGCGCATTGGCAGATGTATCAGCACTAGATGAATGCCACGGTGCTTTGGACGAGGCAACAGGCGAGTACAAGTATTACATGGTTTTGGAGGCTCCCTACATGCCGCCTTGCCTTCGCGGCACGCTTGGTAACATCACGGGCTACCGCAACCAGAAAGCCGGTGAGCCTTGCAACCGCCAGCTGAGCCTGACAGCGGCTCTTGTTGTGAGCCCTGCGGCCCAGGGTCGTATCCTTCATGGGAATGGCTGCCCAGGCCATGCTGTCTTTGAAGATGTCAAGACTGGCCGCCCGGCAGGCTCTGAGAAGGGCTCCTTCAGGCAGCTCAGCAACACTTTCCTGGGAACATGCCCAGCTGGAGGAGCTTGCGGTGCCTGTGGCGCTTGCGGCGCTTGCGGTGCCTGTGGTGCCGCCTGTGGTGCCACCTGTGGTGCCTGCGGTGCCTGTGGCGCTTGCGGTGCTTGTGGTGCTTGTGGTGCCGCCTGTGGTGCCTGCGGTGCCTGTGGCGCTTGCGGTGCTTGTGGTGCTTGTGGTGCCGCCTGTGGTGCCTGCGGTGCCTGTGGCGCTTGCGGTGCTTGTGGTGCTTGTGGTGCCGCCTGTGGTGCCTGCGGTGCCTGTGGCGCTTGTGGTGCCTGTGGCGCCGCCTGCGGCGCTTGTGGCGCTTGTGGTGCCTGCGGTGCCGCCTGTGGTGCCTGCGGTGCTTGCGGGACATGCGGTGCCTACCAGTGCCTGGGGCAGATGTTCTGCGACCGAGGCCTCACGCAGATGCACAAGGGAGTGGCACTGAGCCTGTCACAGTGCAACTTGAATGGCTACAACATCGTGATCGACCAAAAGCAAGACCTCACGGACGTCAGCTACGTCTTCGAGAATGGCCGCATGAAGGTCACCGCAAAGCGTGCCTTCAACACGGGCGATTCTACAGACCTGGTACTGGCTTCTGGAACCCCATACTACGTAATCATGGCAATTGGCGGCAACAATCCTACCATGAATGTGGGTTACCATGGCACCTCAGCTACTCAGAACCTGGTGTGTCTCAGCACCTTGTCCCAGAAGTACGACTGCAAGGCCCCGTCAGAGTGGGACAATGTTGCGCCTTCGTTGCCCAGCACTGACACAAGCGCCGGAGTAGCTCCAAGGCAGTTGGCGCCTGCCCTCATGGCAGCTTCCTTGTTGGTGGCCAGCTTGTCATAAGCTGTCCACCGCATGACGGTTGTTTCGCAGATCTTTCTTGAGAATTTGCATTGCAAAGTGTGGGCGCCGTGACAGTGGTTCGGCAGGGGCTTTGTCGGTTGGTACAAGCTCCTGCCTGCGCTCCCTGACAGAGTTTCTAGTCGAATGTCATTGTGATCAGTATCGTTTTGCAAAACTTGAGCCTACTGCCCGGCCCTCGCATGCAAACAGCAATTTTGACGGCCACTACGGCCGCTTGCCCCTTGGGTTGTTTCAAGAAAGCCCGGGGCTATCACCAGTCCACATTTTTTTTCGCGTGGGGCCATGTGCCACCTTCATGGTGCGAATAGCACTTTTGCGTCAGCTTCCTGTACAGCTTCCTAGAGCTCCGACGAGCTGCCATCATTCGCCAATGGCTTTGCTGGATCGCGCAAGCCGTATCGGCAGGATCAAAGGAAGAGATGAGGCATGAGTCATGAGAGTCGTCTAATGACCGCTGACTAGAAATCACGGTTTTCTAGGCTGTCGGTCTTGCGCGATATCGAAGAACTTTGTCACGGTATGGTGGTGTAATGGTGTAGGTTCGTATAGCGGCGCAATGAACGTACGTAACAACAACAACATGTCTAGAAATACTAAGAGTATTCTTAAGTATTACCATTGATCATGCCAAAAATAAGAGTAATTACGACTAGTAATCATAGTAGTATAACAACACAGTATAGTGGTATCATGGTGTCATGGTAGAAAGGTGCAGGAGTCACAGCTCAGATGGGAAAGATGTCCTTTGCAGCTAACCTTCATGGGCTGTGAGTCGAGGTTTGCGCAGATATTGCCAATATTTCCCACAATCAGGGCTTAGCTTGCGTTTGTTGTAGTTACTGTTGCTACTACATATAAGATTATTACTATTATTGTTTGTTACGATTGTATGCTTCTGATTATGATAGCTTCCCCCACTCGCCATGGCTTGTTTCTGCGCAAGTGGCAGGCTTCGTTTACAGCATCCTGAGTACCCTGAATCCCGAATGCCAGTGGTATAAGTTTTGTTAGGCTCCGCTGGCTGCAAAGTAACAGTAGCAGACGCCTGAGGCCATGAAAGCCATGAAGGCCGGAATTGCAGGGGGCATGTACTTTCTACAAGCAGAAGCCTCTGTCGTGGCCGGCCACGCCTTAAACGTCCCCCTCGACTTGCCTCGGCAGGCCATGAAACCGATGAAAGCCATGAAGGCACTTGGCCCTTTTTCCGTCATACTCCACCATCAAACATGGCTAGCATCAGGAGGGCTAGGGTTTCGTGGTGAGTGAACGATCTCTTGGTACAATCTGTCGAGGCCTTGGCTACAGGCCATGAAGAAAAAGGCGGATAACGAGGAAGCTCCCGCGAAGAAGAGCATGAAGGCAATGAAGGCCCCCCGGGCACGGGACACGCATGCTGCACGAACTGATTGCCGGGCTGTTGCAAAGAGTCACGCGGAGGCGTTGGAGATTTTGTGACCTTCCCTGCTTGGTGGCACATTCTTAGGGAATGCTGCGTTGATTCATGCGATGCTGGCTTGCTTTGGGCCATCGCCTTGGGAACTTGACTGCAGCAGGCGATGAAAGCGATGAAGGCCATGAAAGCCATGAAGGCCTTTGTGCCACGTTGTGCAAATTCATGTGATCCGTCGGCTTGGTCACTGGGAACAGCAACCATACCTCAGCTGCTGTGCTGGTCCACTTGCACTTGGCAATGTTGAGCTGAACACCATGCCCCTGCAGCCAACCAGCAGGCGAATGACAAATCCTCCTCTGCAAGGGACATGGAGATGCCCTTCAAAGTCAGCAACGACGGGCCGGGGCCTCAGACAGCACACTGCCACCGGAAAGAGCAGGCCGAAGTGACGGAGAGATCAGCAAGTGATCTATTACATATCCCCGGGAGGCACGGTGAGCGCAACAAGCGATCTCATGGTCAGTGTGGGCAGTGCAGTAGCCGGAGGATAGAAGTCGGAAAAGCGACGGTGAAGCATCCAAGTCAGCATTGAAATCTCCCCCGAAAAGGACATCACCGTGGACAGTCATGTGGTTAGACGCTCAAACAACAGCCCGCGACCGGCCTCGTCATACACATTAGCATGCAAACCTTACCAGCAACAAGACGTCCATCACGCCAGTGAACTGCAGCTCCTCCGGGACGCTGAGCGGCTCAACCCGCACCCCAGGCCCACCGAGCTGAGCAACACGACGTGAGGAAGTAACACCAGCACCCTCAACCGGCCCGCTCCACACCCTCTTTCTGAAGCTGCATGGTCAAAATGTCCTGGCCCTTTGCGGTCAAGGCAGTTTCTGCAAGGAAGGCAAGACTGAAACCAAGCGCACAGACCGCAGCAACACGTGAGAACAGGGAGGTAACGTTAGCGACCAGGGCCAGAAAAGCAGGGCGGGAAGCGGAGGCCTGGACCCCCCGGCTCACCGCCCTTGAGGTCGGCCTTAATCCTATGTCTCCCGTAGCAAATCCAGCCTCAACTCCAAGTGCTCAGGCGCACGTCCCGGCGATGAAGGCGATGAAGTGAGCAGCTTTGGCCCGCGTGGTTCAAAGCGCTCCGCCAGGTCCCTAGAGCCCTAGGGCCTAACTCCCAAAGCACTGGAGATTTGACAGAAAAACACAGCCGAAGTCATACTACTCTGCACCATGTTTCTTAAACACAACAGCTCAGACCCCTGAAGACCCCGACACATGTCCCCCACACCCAATCCTGCAAGGGATCCAGAGGCAGGAAGGGCGGGGGGGGGTGTGCACAGCCTCAAGGGCAATATAGGGGTCGGAATAATTCCTAGTAGTATTCCCTCATGGTCCCTTGATAACTACACTATAATCACCCCCCAAAGCCCTTTATAACTACACTATAATAACCCCCCAAAACCCTTTATAATTCTTACGGCCCCTATATTCGGGCTCCAGCGGCTGCTGAGGCGGCTAAGGTGCATGACCGTGGCCATCTCCTCGCAGCTTGCGCTACCGAACCCAGAAGAAACAAACCCCCATGTTAAAATTAGTTTAACTAGACCCTAAACCCTAAACCCTAAACCCTAAACCCCATTAAAAGGGATGAGGATGCATAAGCGGTTCAAGGGTTGAGGGTTTCAGGGTCAGGCCTTGTAGGCTTCAGGTTGGGGTACTTGAAAACTTACCCTAGACGCAAGACCCTAATCCCTATACCAGCATGGGCTACTAGGCCTTATCATTCCCCTAACCAACCCTATAAAGGGCCTTTTTAAGGGGTTATAGGGTATAATCGCCCATGTAGGTAGACCCAATGACATGGAACGCCATGAGAAGCCCGGTGCTCTGGTCTCTGCTCTCCCTCGCCTCGGCCTTGCAGCAAAGGCCTTGGGTTGTTTGGGTGTTGCGTTTGGGTAGAGTATACATATACACACTATATATATATATATATATGTTTGTTTGTTTTTTATGAAGGTATACATATATATATATATGTATATATCCAATTGGTAAGGGTTTGTAATTAGGGTTGTCATTTTTGTTTGGGGGGCCTGAGGTTGGGCTCTGGGGTGCATTCGGCTAGTCTAGCCAATCGGATTCTCAGATGCCGTTGTAGCGCCACATCCTTCCTCAAACCATTGCATTCCATGTTTTTTTTTGGCATTCCCAGGAGCATTTCCAGAAAGCTTCATGGTATCTCCCCTTTCTGAGTTTACAGGAATAATATGGTGGCTTCACTTCGGGTGTAATGGGCTTCAGAGTCTTCGGGTTTCGGGCGATGGGGTGTACAATTGAGCCTGACCTGCGTTAGGAAAACCCCCCAGCTACATCACTATGGTGACCGCAAGAAGTCATAGAGCCAAACCCCGGGCCCGGTGCCTGTCAGGCTGACCATTGAGCATGCCAAGGAGAGCCCCATGCCGATGTGCCTGCGAAGAAGAAAGCTGCCAGTTTACCTTCTTGGGTTTCGCATGTGGCGGAGGGTGCTCCATTCTGGCCTGCTCATCGTGCTAGCGTGCGTCTTCGATACAGGATCGGAAAAGCTTAACAAGACAGCATAGGGCACGGGTAGACAGTAGGAATATCCAGTGCGGCTCGAGTATCTTTGCATGGTGGGTGCATTATAGAGACTCTACCCCGCTCGAGCCCTAAAACTAGGAGGGCTTGAAGAGGATTCATGGGTCAAGGGCCCGCCGATGAGCAGCACAACTTCTGGGCTTAAGGCTTTAGGGTTGTGGGGGGGAGGGGGGCGGCGCTGCAATCTTTATGAACAACAAGAAAATCAGAAACTGGCCCGCGAATCAGAAACTGCGCATCAGAAGCTGGCCCGCGAATCAGAAACTGCGCATCAGAAACCGGCCACGCATCAGAAACTGCGCATCAGAAACTGGCGCAGAATCAGAAACTGGCGCGAATCAGCAACTGCGCATCAGAAACCAGCGCGAATCAGAAACTGCGCATCAGAAACCAGCGCGAATCAGAAACTGCGCGTCAGAAACTGCCCGTCAGAAACCTGCGCATCAGAAACCCACGCGAACCAGAAACTGCGAGTCAGAAACTGCGCGTCAGAAATCCGCGCGAATCAGAAACTGCGAGTCAGAAACTGCGGATCAGAAACGCGGTAGGGGGGTGGGGGGGGGGCAGTCGCGTGCAGGTGGCCAGCCCGTGTCAGAAACTGCTTTTCAGAAACTGCGGGGTGGGGGGAGGGTTGGGGGGGGGTGGGGGGGAAGTCGCGAAACTGCTTTTCAGAAAGGCGGTCGCGTGCAGTCCAGGCCAGAAACTGAGGGTGGGGGGGGTGGGGTGGGGAAACTGCTTTTCAGAAACGCGGTGGGTGGTGGGGGGGCGGGGGGGGGCAGTCGCGTGCAGGTGGCTAGCCTATGTCAGAACGCGGTGGGGGTGCGGGGGGGGGGGGGGGGCAGTTGCGTGCAGGTGGCCAGCCCATGTGAGAAACAAACTGCTTTGCAGAAACGGGGGGGGGGGCAGTCGCGTGCAGGTGGCCAGCCCATGGGGGGGGCAGTCGCGTGCAGGTGGCCAG